AGGCCACGCTTAGCCTTACGATGTCCAGGCATTGTCTTACCATGCACACTATTTTATTTTGTAATTTTATAGGTCACCATGTTATCCTTATCCATTATGTCCATTTTCTGTAGAGCTCTGTGCAATGCTTTTTCTCATCTCTTGAAACACTTTTATTATGCCTTTGGAAGTCATTCCCTGTATCTTTCTCTGCTATGAAATTTACTTTCTGCTTGGTTATGTTAAAACCTGAAGCACCGCTTTCCTTGCACGGCCCCGGAGTGATGGATGTCTTCGCTGCCTTTTACCTTTGGGCTTGGAGGTAGGACAATTTTTCCTTGTTTCTCTTTGCAATATACAATGATTCTCTTTCATTTATCCATAAAACCACAATGCTAGTTTCAGTACTCTTTTATCCTGCCTTTTTGTAAGTCATTTATTTTATCCCTGCCTGACTTCCCCTCCATGGGAGGCATTCCTCCTCATTCCTTAAAGATTTTGGCTCATGATTCACTGTTACTCTAACACTACCTAGGTCATTTTAAAAAAATTTAAAACATAATTAAATACTCCTTCCAACACCCTAACTCTTGTTTCTTTATTTTCTCTGACTTTATGGTCTAGTCTTCAGCCCCTGGCTTTCTTTCATGCTAGGGTCTAGACTAGTGATGGAAAACCGTTTGTTTTATTTTTTATTTTAAAATTTTAATTTTATTGGTGCAATTTAGATATACACAAGGATCACATTCATCATATGGAATTTGTACCTGTACATGATGTATTTTGATTCCTTCCCCCCCCACTTCCCTCCCCTCCCCCATTCCCTCTTTCTTTCCTTATTTACAAAAGCCCTGTTTCCATTTTTCCTTCTGTTCTCATTTTTTCTTTTTCTTCCTTCCTCTCCCCCTCCCCCTCTCTAGTTCCCCCTTACTTTTGAACAATTTCTTCACATTGTCTATTATACATTTTGGTCCCTGTTTACACTTTCAGTTTCTTAGACCAGAGACACAACGAGGTAATTACACATGTGTGTCCAATTTATTTCACTTAAGACTATAGCTTCAAGGTGCATTCATTTAGCTATAAATGTCTCAAGTTTGTCCTTCTTTATGGCTGAGTAATATTCCATTGTGATAACCTTTTGGAGACATGTACCCAAAGTGCAACCCACTTATTTATGTCAAAGTGCCAATGCTGCAATTAAACCTGAATACTGAGGTTTTAATGTAGAAAAAAAAATGCACTCATATATTAACATCATTTGTCTTAAAAGAAAAGTAACATGCATTCCATAGGTTCTAGACTTCGTTATTAATAGCAGGTGCACCCTCCTTATAATCTCATTTCTGTACTTCCAATTCCTTTCTTCTCGTATTCCCAAATCCAATATTCCTATAATCTAGTAATTGCAAAACTCACTGATCTTACGGCCATTTTGTACCTTTCCAGCTTTCCTATTTATAGTTCCATGATTTAGTGTTATAATCAGCTCTTTCTTACATTCTCAACTCCCTCATTCATGGCCTTCTCTTGGTAAATAAATACTTCTTCTATCTCATACATGCATTTATAAAACTGAAGTTGACCAAAATGACAAAACTAAACAAATATAGATATAGGCCTGCTGATTGATCTTACTTTAGGTTCCTGATAGCTTCTTTCACTAATGGTGCTAGGAAAACTGGTTATACATGTGCAGAAAATTGAATCTAGACTCATGTCTCTTACACTGTACTAAAACAAAAAAATAGATCAAAGGTTCTGATATAAAAACGGAAACACTGAATATGACGGAAGATAAACCTCCTGAACACATGGGTATAGACAACACTTTCTAAACAGAAACATATTTGGACAAGAAATAATACCAAAAGTAAACAAATGGTGTTATGTCAAATTACAAAGCTTCTATACGGCAAAGAAACAGAGAAAATAACATACAAAATAGAAAAAAGTTTTGCCAGATGCCACTCTGACCAGAGTACTAATATCTACAATATATAAAGAACTCAAAAAATTAAACCCTGCCAAAAATATCTCCCCAAAGTAGGCCCTTGAAATAAATAGACCCTTTTCAATAAATATTATAAATGACCAATAAATGTATGAAAAATGATTAACATCTTTGGTCATTAAAGAATTACAAATCAAAACAATACTGAGAGCCCATCTTAATACTCCAGTAAGAATGTCTATCATCAAGGACTCAAACAACAAATGCCGAACAGAATGCTGAGAAAAACGAAGGTTTTTACATTGTTGATGGGAATGTAAACTAGTGGAACCACTATGGAAATCTGTATGAAGTTTCCTCAAAAAATAAAAGAAATTCTTGATCTGGCAATACCTTTTCTGGGACTCTTCCTGAAAGTGTCAAGGTCATCATATTACAATGATCCATGCATACTCATGTTTACAGCAGCGTAGTTCATATTAGATAAATTATGGAAGCAGCCTATATGCCCATCAACAGATGAATAGATAAATATAATGTGAGATAGATAGATAGATAGATAGATGATAGATAGTTGGATAGATAGATAACTGGAATACTATTCAGCCATAGAAAGGATAAATTTGAGTCTTTTTCAGGAAAATGGATAGATTTTAGACCATAATGCTGAGTGAAATAAAGCAAAAACAGAAGACTAAATATTGCATTGTTTTTTTCATGTGAGAAGCCTGACATATAAATAATTTAAAGAGGAAAATAAAGGAGATATGGGAGAAGGGGAAGTAAAAATGATCAAGCTGCAATGTGTATATGTATCAATTCCTCAAGATAAATGTAACTATTATATATTGCAAAAGGAATACAGATCAATTATCTTATCACACTTTATTTTTTCTAATATTCTTCCTTTTTAATGAAGTGACCAGTTTTTTGCCTATATCATTTTACTTCTTGCAAAAACAATATTTTTAACATTTCTCATAGGGCAGGTCTGCTAATGATATAAACACCTTCTTTATTCATTTGTGTGAAGAAGTCGATATCATCTTACTCATAAGGATAATAATACTGAGTATACCATTCTAGATTTTCACATTTTGATAACAAATATTTTAGTACACTATCTTCATGGTGCATGATTTCTAATGAGAAACCCATTGTAATTCTTTTCCCTCCATTGGTAAGGGGTTCTTTTCCTTTCTGTTCTTTCAAGATTTTCACCTTATTTTTGTTTCATGGAATTTGAATATGAAAGCCTCTGTGTAGTTTTGGAAATTTATTAATTCTCTTTCTTGTTCTCTGAGCTTCCTGGATTCATGGTTTGGTGTTTGTCACTAACTTTACAGTGTTAGCCAAAATTACCTCAAATATTTCTTCTGTTCCATTTTCTGTTTCTTCTTTTGGTTTTCCAATTAATTTTGAAACTTTCTTACAGATTTTGGATTTGCAGATGTTTTTCTCTTTATAATTCAGTTTGGAAAGCTTCTATTAATTCTTCTTCAAGCATATTGATTCCTTCTTGGTTCTACCTCCTCTTCTGATGACCCCATTGAACACTCTCTTCATTTATGTTACAGTGTTTCTGATTTGTAGCACTTGCTTTTGATTCTTCTTTAGAACTTCTGTCTCCCTGCTAACATTAGCCATGTATCTTTGCAGGCTTATCATTGAAGTTTTAAATACATTTATCATATTTACTTAATGTTCCCTCTTTGTTAATTGTAACTTTTAGATGGTATCTAAGCCTGATTCTGAAGCTTGCTTTTTTTCTTCTGATTATTTTTCTTGATTGGGGCATACCTTGTACTTTTTTGTGGAAAGACATGCTTTTTTTTCTTTTCTGCACTGAGGATTGAGCCAAAGGCTTTTGCACTGGCCTACAACACACAGACCTTTGTAATTTTGGAGGCAGGCTTAGTCTCACTAAATTGTTAAATTGCCCAGGCTGAGCTTTAATTTGTGATCCTCCTACCTCAGCTTCCCACTGTGCTGGGATTAGAGGTGTTTTGCTACACCTGGCTGAAAGGTGGACGTGTTTTATCAATTAATAGAATTGGTAGACATGAATAAGTTTCTTCTGGGAAGATTTATGTGAATTTACATAGAAACTGGGCTGTAAGTGCCACAGGCTTCTTAAGAATTACTCTTTTATTAGTGTCCCTGCTAGAGTGATGAGGTAGTCTTTCTAGGACTCTGCTGTACCAACCTGGTGGATTTTCTGGAAGTAAAGACTATGATTCCTCCCCTAAGACGGGTTCCTAGATACTTCTCATTCTCTCCTTGACCTAACTCAGTCCACAGCAATTCATCAAAATTGTTACAACTTAAACTCTTCTATCATTCTATGGATCCAATGGCCACTGCTCTGCGCAAGCACAGCTGTTTTTATTCTCTATATTTGTCTATCTTTCCAGATTTGGGGATGGGAAGTTTGCCCTCCAAACTCAATTTTCTATGGGTCCAAAACCATTGATTGAGTTTCATTTTGTTTTGGTACCAGGGATCAAACTCAGGACCCTGCACTTGCAAGGCAGGCACGGTGTCACTGAGCTAAATCCCCGACCTGAGTTTCTTTCTTTTCTTTTTTGGTTATTCTTACAAGAATGACAGTGATGACTCATTTTCAAGTTTTGGTTCCAGTTTTTGCAAAAAGTCAACTTTCAATACCATAATCCTTGCTATCACGTGCACCATATAATTTTATTTATTGTTTCTTTTCCTATGACTTGGTACATAGAAGTTGGTTTACAAGGTAAGTACATCACAAGCTGATTCCACAAGGCCTTTAGAATATAAATTTTAATACTACCTTAGATTTGAAATATTTTATTATAATTTAAATAAGAAATTTCAAATAATATTTCATAGCATGTTTTGAATCTTTGTATTTTTACACCAGATTTTAATGTTTGCAGTAAAAATAGCCAACTTTCTTGAATTATGTACTATGTGACTGTGGTAAACATGAGCTTTACGTTGGTTGTTTAATTCACTTCGCATAAAAAACTCAAGATAGGTATTTTTATCATATTGACTTTATTCATTAAAAAATTTACAAAGATGGCATAACTTACTGAAGATCACAGAGATAATAGGTAGCAGGATATGAATTTAGGCAGTGGGATTTCAGTCTGGACTCTAAATGTCTACATGCTCTCAGCTCATGCCCTTCAGGATTGGCCACATGAATTGTTCTCTGTGATAACAAAATACAGTGTAAGTATACTGTACATGTTCTGGTCAGATGGTGAATACATAGTTGGTACTGGTATTTAATACTTATCTCATACTCCTGAAAAATGACCAACATTCCTTACGCTAAAACCAAAATATTTTTGATAACATTAAATACTAGATTAATTATATTCTATTTTATTCTCCTAAGTAAATTTTATACCTAGTATATATTAATACATTATATCACTTTAATTAAGGTTTTTTTCTTTGTGGTTTGTTCAAAATTTATTTTGATTATTGTAGAGAGTTTTTTACATTTTACTTAGTAAATCTGTATATTTTTAAAATAGTGAGATTTCTAGGGCCGGGGATTTAGCTCAGTGGTTTCACCGCCTGCTGTGCAAGCGCTAGGACCCGAGTTCGATCCCCGATACCAAAAAAAAAAAAAAAATAGTGAGATTTCTGATACTCTTTATATCTTCACTTCTTTTGCAGTGTGACTTTGCAGTTCTGTATTTCCACTCCTGTTGCAGTCTGACATCAAGAAATACAGTTTCAGGGCTGGGGATTTAGCTCAGTGGTTCCGGTGCCTGCCTCGCAAGTGCAAGGACCTGAGTTTGATCCCCGGTACCAAAAAAAGAAATACAGTTTATTTTTAACTTTCTGAATTTACACTTATGACTTGATTTTCCCCTTATATGTGTATTATTGTACCAAATTCAAGCTTAGATCTGAAGAAAGCATCCATAGTTCTCTTCTCTTCTTTTGAAACTTCTGAGCCACCATATAAAAACAGCTACCCTTCTGGACAATGGGCTCCATGTGTAAGATAATCCAGACTTAGCTCAATTACTGATAACTTCAAACACGAACAAGTCTATCCCAGATCAGCCATGCCTGCCCCAGATGTGAAAGACCCTGTGGTTGATTTTTAGCCACAAGACACTAATAAGTTGCTATACTTTTAAATTTTCAAAATTGGAGTGGCAAAAAATATCTTCTGATACAAATCATATGCTGGACCACATATATTGTAGTTGTGCTACATGAAATGTATATTTTTTGTTCACTTGATTAAAGCTAAATAAAGTTTTTTGTTGTTTTTATTTTGTGTTGATGCTGGGATTGAACCCAAGTTCATATACATACTAACCACAAATCTACTATTGACTTATAATCCCAGCTCCAAATAAGTTATTTTAAAAGAGAATACCTCAGTCTTCTTTGTTCTTATTCAGTTTCACCACATAGATGAAGATTTCATAATAAATAGTAATTAGAATGATAATAAAGAGCCATATCATTTTCTGCATAAGTTATAAGGCTTTACATATAATAGCTATTTGATCCTAAAAACAAGTGGTGAGGTAGATATGTTTTCCTCTTCTAATTGTGTTCTCAGGCACAAATAAGCACTTAGTCTCAAGAGTTAAAGACAGTCTTTTCAGTATTTGAATTTTCATATCTTTCACAAATTTTGTCTTATACCCAGAAGGTTTGCTTTCATCCTTCAAAAGTTAGAAAACTATAAAATTATGTATATCATCAGTAACACAGTATCTGAACTTCTGACTGTTGCCAGTATGTATGCCACTGATTTGTAGCCCCAAATGCATTATAACCTGCGTTTAGAAACAAAATAATCCAAGTGAAATATTAAGTGTAAGACGAATAGTTCACCAAATCCCTTTTCTACATCCATGACAACTGACTTATTTTGGGACAAGGGTTCTTGATAATCTAAGGAAGTTATGAGCTAGCACTCCAAAAATATGTAAGCTTACCAAATGTGCATTCAACTTTAGAAGTCCTAGATCTTCCTTTTTAAAGTCCATATTTGGGTCTCAAATAAGAACTTCTATTCTAGATAAATAGAAATGTATATTATTGTGTAACACTAAGATCATTGCAGAGCTTTAGAGTTAGGTATTTAGAACATATCATTTACACATCACTCTCACCTCCTCTCAAGCCCTTATACCAGTGATGGCGAACCTATGGCATAAGTGCCACAGCTGGCTGTATATCATTGAAAGCTCCAAAAGTTTTACTATCACAGCCACTACAGAGTCTGTAATCAATTTTTAAAGTGGATTCTAATGTAGTGCCTTCTAATAAACTATCACAAGATAGTAGATATTGTACAATGTAATTTATCTAAGAATTTCTTTGACTTCATTAATAACTACACTTTATGTGAAATGAGGAAAAGCATTTTTCAACTTTCAATGTTAGATGAAGTTGGCTTCTCTTATGCCAATATTATATGTCTATCTTGTGAGAGAAATAATTTTATAATTGTCAATGTTTTCCTTTGTGCTTTTCCAGCCATATTTATGCAGGCATTTTGACATACATTATCATGCACATTCTTTCTTCTACTTTGCTTTATTATTTGACTACTTCTATGATTTAATTTTTGTGTAGCTCCCAAGGGTCCATGTGTTGGGAGCTTAGTCCCTAGGATAACTGGAAGATTTTGTGCAGATAGGGTCTAATGATAAATCTTGATATGATCTTCAAAGGGATTATTTTCTCACGGAATCCTGGTTATTTCCAATAATGAGAAGACTGTTATTTAAAAGGAGCAAAACTCGTCCCACCAAGCCCTCTCTGCTTCCCGATTTAAATATGGTCACTTAACCCTACACACACTCTTGTGATGACATGATGCCACTGTTGCCTTCACTAGAAGCTGAGCCAATGAAGCTACCTGATCTTGGACTTTGAATCTTAAATTGTGGACTAAAAAACTTTCTCTTCTTCAAAATAACCTGCCTCTGGTATTTCATGATGGTGATGAAAAGTTGGTTAATACAACCACAATTTGTACTTTAGTTTACTTGCCCTCTTCTCTTTTACCGCTCCTTTTTATTGTATGAAATTTGTTCTATATGTTACCTCATACCCTTTTTGAAACACTTAAGTCAACAATATGTTCTTGCAATTTCAGGAGAATATAGATTTTTGTGAAGGAATATGTCAACATTTTCCAGGTTTTACATTTCTGAAAACTAAGCAAGCATGTTCACACTGAGATTCTATAGTTAGACTGGCATTTATTAGGACAATATTAGTTTGGAATAATTCCTATCTATGATAGAATTTGAAGCTTCTTTACTTTCAGATCTGATGCTAGTCTGTTTTAGATAATTGGCCAAACCCCTGAGTACCTGTGTTGCTTGGTAACTTAAAGTGGGGTGATAAAATATTGCTAGTTCTGTTTCTCTGGAGGAATGTGTCCTGTTACATAAAGTATTTAAGATTCTTGAAACAAAATCCTTTGTGGGTAAAATAATAGTATGTGCTGTCATGGAATTTCTTATTTGCCTCCTCAATTACGTTAACTTGAATGTCTCTAGACTGATAGCCAGAAGTATTTTGAGAATACACTAAGAAAAAGTTAAAATGTCCATTATCCAATCAGTGTGAGTGTGCTTTGTCATCTTATTCTCAGAGTACCATAAAGTTGATAGACCATCTGTGTGAGTAACAACTTGTTGGCTTTCAGGGTCTGGTAGCCCAGTTTATTAGACCATGGGAATAGTGAGTGAAGATTTTAGTTTCATTAGGTTTGCTTTGTGAAATGCTTTTGGCTTCCTCTTAACCTTGGCAAGCTTTATCTTGTGTCCTCATTGTTCACATTCCAGAGGAACCCGTGGTGGTATTTTTAGCATCCCAATGGCACAAAAACTCAAGTGTTGATTGATAGTAACTTGCTTCTATGCAGAAAATGTCTGAGGAATGAAAATTGCTTAAAACTCTTCTGTGTCACAATTTATCTGGTGCAAATATAAAAAATTTAAAACCTTTAGGACAAATGGACTAGAGCAGGGAATGAAGTACATGTGTGTGATAATTATGTATACAATAATATAAATTCATGTTCTGAAAGAGATGGATGAAAATCACATCATTAGAATATACCTTCCTCTCATAAGTGAAAACATATTGATTTTTCTACAATTAGAACCAAGTAGTGGAAGAGCAAAAAATAAAATCCTTGTTTCCTGATAGACAAATAAATGCTCTATGTTTTATATTTCTTTCTTGTAAAAAAGAACTATCCTTATTAGTTTTAGGTTCTGACCTTGCCTTTCCAGCATGTTTAATTCTTAAGTTCTATGAGAAATGCAGTTTTATTCAGTGATGATCCCTTTGCTTGTGATCAATTCAGAGATGAAATATTGCTAATTTCTTTTCCAGTAGAAAATGACTATAGTTATCATGCAGCTTTAACAAATACTATATTTAGATTCAAATCAACCAATCATCTCTATGAGAAAATTTTGATATACAAGAGTATGTCTTGCACAATGCAGAACTTTTCAGGTCAGTTATATTTTGAATAAATGAGGGATGGTTAAATGAAAATAAGGTTAAAATTAGAAATCAGATTATCAGTTTTTTTCATTGAGTTTATTGGTACATTTTAGGTATACAATACAGTTACATTAATCATTGGGATCTTGTACCTTTACATGATGTATCTTGGTTCTTATTTTTTCCCCGTTCCCCTGCCCTCCCTTCACCCCCTCCACCCTTCCCTATTTACAAAGACTTTGTTTCCATTTTTTCCTTTTCTCACATTTTTTCTTTTCCTTTCTTTCCTTTCGAAATAATAGTTTAAATCTAATTTAAAATGAACTTAACAATGTACCCAGGGTTTGGATCACTAGACAGATTTTGTGTTTGTCAGTAGCTTTGCATAATTTTAGACAGTGTTGTTCTGTACAAACAAATTACTTTAGAGTTATTTATTACTTCAGAGAACCAACGCTTCAGTGGAATTTATGTGTTGCCAAATTATATATTTTGATATATTGTTCAGGTCTCTGTGTCTAGTGTTCTATATATACAACTTTATTCTGTATCTAATCATATTTATCATAGTACTCAGCTTTTTAGTTTTAGAAGTTATAAAATATGAAAATTGATCTTTCCTCTAATTATTTTAGTGGGGAACTAATACTTTTCTTCTAATTAATTAGTTTCTGAACTTCTCTGATTGTCCTTAGAAAGAAAATAATTGGAATTAAAATTTTACACTATCTAGTTACCTTGCATTAATCCAAACTTTAAAAGATTTTCTCGTGGTCAATCATATATCCTGGTATTCTCTTGGTAGTTTCTGATGATTACCTATGTGAATATGACATTAAATGCATTACTTTTATATACAGAAATCATAAATTAACTCTAAATTTCACTTGAAAGTTTCATTAGCTGAGGCTTTATTTTCAGTAGAGTATATATTTGGACACTGGAGCAATACTACAAATAACATAGTCTTGAAAATTAATTAAGCTAAAGTAGATTGAGTTGACATGGTAAACTCATGGTGCCAAGAATCAGGTTTATATAAAATGGTGGCTTAGGGGCCGGGGATTTAGCTCAGAGGTTTTGCCGCCTGCTGCGCAAGCGCAAGGACCTGAATTCGCTCCCCAAAACCAAAAAAAATAAAATAAAATAAAATGGTGGCTTTACAATTGTTAATTTAATACTCTCATCAAATCCTGTAAGGTAAAAGAGAAAGAAGAGATTTTCCCTTCCTTTGAAGGGTATGAACTAAAAAACTTGCACAGACACACGCACACACACCCCTTCTTAGATTTCATCGACCCCACTATAGCTGCATGGTTATCCTTTTACACAAAGCAATCTGTTAACCTTTAGCGAAGTACGCATGCCTTGCTGTCATTTTCACACATATCAGAAAAGGGAGAAGTACTGAAAATGAATTCACAGCAATGTTTAGAGGTTAGGCCCTTTCATATTGTCTTCATTTTTGTTTTCTATTCAAGTTTGCTTTTTTGTTTCAATTTTGGATAATTCCTATTGGTCTTTAACTGTATTGGTTCTGCCTAATATTGTGTCCTGTCTTCTACTATAATCTTAATTTCTGATATCATATGTTGTAATTCTGGGATTTCCATTTGGCCAGTTTTTATGGTTTTCATCTCTCTTTAGAAATTCTGTGATTATTATTCATATATGTTTTTTTCTACTGGATTTATTAATATTTTAATGATAGCTGATTTATAGTCAAATCTTTCCAATAATTAAGTCAATGTCTGGTTCTGTTGTCGATTTTATTTTTACAAAGGCTTATTTTTATTTCTTTGCTGAGAGTGTATGTGTGTGGCTGAAAATTTTTAAACTGGATTCTGGAATTATGTGTAAGATGATAGTAGACTGATGCAAGCACCTTCTGCTTTCTGGCTATTAATATGGAGAATTGAGTCAAACTAGACAATAGTAAAGCTGAGTTTGGTTTTATTGTGGCTGTAGTTATCTTTAGTTCATCAAATATTTCATTTTCCGCAACAGTGAGCTGCTGCTGTTTTTTGCTTATTGTGGGCATATTCATGAAGTGAGGTTTTGTGTTACTGCATTATACTCATCTTTCAATAGACTGCACACACTTGCACCATAGATGGAATCTGGTGTTCCAGTGACAGCTGCTATTCCTTATATGAGGCATGTGGTACGGAGCAAGAGATGTCTTGAAGTTTTTGTTTCATCTTCTATCTTAGGCAGGTCTTTTCCACCTGGGTCATTGTGATGGAACTCTATCAGCATTCCTGTTCTCTCCTTTAGCAGACAGTCTCAGATTTTTTACTTTGGAAATTTCCTTCCCTCCACCCAAAGAAGCATAACTCTCTAACAGAGGCAAATTTACTTCTACTGCTATCAATTGCACTGTACCCTGAGGAGACTGGTGGCAGATAATTCCTTGCCCTTGTTCCTGCAGGAGATTGCTTTCCCTGTACTTTGAAGAAATGCCCCCTCCCAGGGGGCAAAAGCTTTCACTTTGTGCTATTTACTTTTCAGGGAAAAGAGACAAGGTCCTGCTTGTACCCAGTGGCTTAGAGCTTTTTGGTTCATAGGACACAAGGATCAGTAAGCAGACAGGGACTCAGGCCTGTGCACCATCTATGAGGAACTCTTTAAGTTCGCCTTTCCTCCTCCCAATCTTTTTCATGAGTACATGGTGGAAGCTCATGGTAAAGAATTAGACAATGACTAACATCATTTATGTTTAAGACTCCCAGATAAATTTTCACCCTAGCTCACTTTCAGTCTTTTAGAATGAATTAATCTTTTCAGCTGTTTGTTGTTGTTGTTGTTGTTGTTGTTGTTGTTCGTGATTACAGTACATACTGATTACATCCACTGTACACCCACTGTAGGGGGATTAGTGCGTGTACATAACACATTTCAACTCCCCTTCCCTCCTCCCTCCTTTTATTTCCAGCATCAGATTCATTTATTTATCTAATAAGACCTTACAAAGTTAATTATCATATATACAGATTGAAAACAAGACTAATAGGCCAAAGAACATATAAAGCATGTAAAACAAGTGTACTAAGTCAAGGTACACTTTTGGATAAATTGTTCACCTGGGATTACAATACCCTTTTTTTCTTTCTCTTTTTTCCTGTTTTCTGTCTTTTATTGCATACTTTATATACACATTGAGTTTTTCACGTAAGAGAAGCCATCCAATATTCAAGCCTGTGTGTCTAAGTTACTTCACTTAACATTATGGTCTTGAGGTGCATTCATTTTCCTACAAATGACTCAAGTTTATCCATTTTTATGGCAGTACTCCATTGTGTATAAATACCACATTTTTATCCATCCATCTGTTGCTGGACATATGGACTGTTTACAAGATTTAGCTATTATTAATTGTGTCACTGTAAACATGGGCATGTATACAGCATATAGTATTATGTTTTTACCTCTTTTGTGAAGATACTTAGAAGGAGATTATCTGGGTCAAATGTAATTTTTACTTTTAGTTTTTTGAGGAATCGTCATACTGATTTCCATAGTGGTTTTATCAGTTTACAGTTCCACCAACAATGGAGAACAGCTCCTTTTTACCCAGAGCCTTGCCAACATTTGCTATTGGTTCATTTCTTGATGGTATCCTTTTTTTTTTGACTGAAATGGTCTCTTAGTGTTGTTTTAATTTGCATTTAATGATTTAATTTGCATTTTAATTGCATTTGAATGATCAGTGATGTTGAACATTTTTTCATGTATTTATTGGCCATTTCTATTTCTTCATCTGAGAAGTATATATTCTTTTCAGATGCCCATTTTTTAATTGGGTCTTTAAATTTGAGGCAGTCTAATTTTTTTGAATTCTTTATATATTCTTGATTTAGTCCTTTGAGGAGTAGTTGGCAGAATTTTTTTCTCTTTCTGTAGTTTGTCTCTTAAGCATGTTAATGGTTTTCTTTGCTGTGCAGAAACTTTTTAATTTGATGTGTTCCCGTTTGTTGATTATTGGTATTATTTCTTATGCAACCAGGGGTTTTGTTTAGAAAGTTTTTGTTTACATCTATATCTCCAAGAATTTTACCTATTTTGTCTTCCACTAGATTGTTTAGATCTTTGATCCATTTCAATTTTAGTTTATCTTAGTGCATGGTGAGAGATGGGTCTAAGTTCAACCTTCAACATATGAACATACAGTTTTTCCAGCACCATGTGTCAAGGAGGCTGTCTTTCCTCCAGTGAAGGGATTTGGGCCCTTTGTGAAAAATAACATAGCCAAATGTGCCCAGAGTTGTGTCTGTATCTTTATGTTGTTCAATTGACCCACAAGTCTTTTTTCACAAATACCATGCTGTTTTTATCATTGCAGCTTTGTAGTATAACTTGAAGTCTGGGATCGTGATGTCCCCTGCCTTACCCTTGTTGCCCAGAATTGATTTTGCTATCCTAAGTCTCTTTTGGTTCCATATGAATTTTAGGATTGTTTTCTCTATTTATGTAAGGAATGTTATTAGTATTTTGATTGGAGTTGCATTAAATCTATGCAACAGTTTTGGAAGTATGGCCATTTTAATTATTTTGGTTCTGCCTATCCAGGAACAAGGGATACTTGTCCATTTTATGATATCACTTTCAGTTTCCTTTTTCATAGTACTATAGTTTTCAGCTAGTTTTGGCTTGTTTGTTTTTTTGTTTTTTTTTTCATTTAGTATATTGGAACATTTTAGGTGGACAATACAGTTACATTCTTCATTGGGATCTTGTGACTTTACATGACTTATCTCGGTTCTTATATTTTCCTCAGTCCCCTGCCCTCCCTTCACCCTCTCTATCCTTCCCTATGTACAAAGACTTTGTTTCCATGTTTTTCCTTTTCTCATATTTTTTTTCCCTTCTTTCCTTTCCCCTTCCCCTCCCATTTCTCCTACTCCTTTAGACATTTTCTTCCTATTTCACAATGTCAATTATACATTTTGATTCTATTTACACTTTTAGTTTTTCACACCAGAGAAACTATTCAGTATTTATACAAGTGTGTCCTACTTATTTCATTAAGTGTAGGGCCTCAGTGTGCATCCACTTAGCTATAAATGTCTCTAATTTCTCATTCTTTATGGATGAATAGTACACCATTTTTTAAAAAAAACCCTCATTCTCTTTATCCAGTCTCCAGTTGATGGGCATTTGGGATGTTTCCAAGTTTTAGCTATTACAAACTGTGCTGCTATAAACATGGGTGAGCATATGTCATGGTGGTATGATTCTTTTAATTCTTTTGGGAAGATACCCAGTAGAGGAACAGCTGGGTCAAATGGGACTTACAGTCCTAGTTGTTTGAGCTATCTCCATATTGATTTCCACAGTGGTTGCACCAGTCTGCACTCCCACCAACAATGAAGAAGTGTTCCTTTCTCCCCACACCCCTGCCAGCATTTGTTATTGGTTGATTTCTTGATAGCAGCTATTCTTTGTGGGGTGAGGTAGAATCTCAGAGCTGTGATTTCCTTTGCATCTCTCGAATGACGAGTGATGTTGAACATTTTTTCATATGTTTATTTGCTGCTTTTACTTCTTTGAGAAACGTCTGTTCATTTTAGACTCCCATTTTTGGATTGGGTGTTTATATTTGGGGGATCTGATAGTTTTTAGTTCTTTATATATTTTAGATTGTAGACTTTTGTCTGAGGAATAGCTGGTAAAATTTTTTCCCACATTGTAGGTTGTCCCTTAGCTCTGTTGGTGGTTTCTCTTGAGTGAGAAGCTTTTTAACAAGATGAGATCCCAGTTGTTGATTCTTTGTGCTAGTTCCTGTGCTACTGAGGATTTGTTCATAAAGTCCTTTCCCA